GAGAAAGTAAGAAACAAACAAGGAGAGAGAGACAGAGAGAAAGAGCAGGAGAGGAATGGACCAATTTGTATCTAACGTCCCAGGAAACTTACTTATATTGCTTTAAAGATATCGAAAAGTAACTAGGTCCAGAGGGCGGACGACGAGAGGGAAATCAAGAGAAGAGAGGAAAGGGAAAAGGAAGAAAAGAAGAAGAGAAAAGGAAATAAAGAGTAAAAAAGGAGACCGAAGAATACACGGATTAGACAAAGAAAGAAGAAAACTTTGATCATAAGGAAATGCAAAGAAAACTGATATTAATACGAAGTATAAGGAACGAATATACAAAAATTAACAGAATGATTGGTTCCTTTCTATGTTGGTACGTTTTGTGTGTATGAGTAAGTATGTGTTTTGATTATATGTGTAGGTTTATGTACGAGTTTATCAAACGTGTGCGAGTAAGTGTGTGTGGTTGCGACTGTGATTGTCATTCTGCTGTGTGTGTGTGTGTGTGTGTGTGTGTGTGTGTGTGTGTGTGTGTGTGTGTGTGTGTGTGTGTGTGTGTGTGTGTGTGTGTGTGTGTGTGTGTGTGCATGTGTGTGTGTGTTTGTGTGTGTGTGTGTGTGCGTATGTGTTAGTGTATGTGTGTGTGTGTGTGACGAGGTTTGTATGCCATTTGAGTATATATGAGAACATTCACATGTGTCTGTATATATGTACGGTGATAAACCGAATATCTGAATCTGTATGTACGAAACATGTGCACCCATGTGTATGTATCCCTCCCTTTCCGTGTGTGTGTGCGTATATGCCTTTTGTCGAGGAGTGCGAGGACTTCAGGGCAGTAAAAGAGAAATATCGTACCATTTGCCCCTTTAAGTTACAATGGATGGCGGCGGAAAGCAACGACCGAGGAGAAAAGAAAAGGGAAACTGAAGAAAGCGATAAAGAGGGAGAAGAGAGGGAGGAGATTAATCATTCTTCAATTAATATCCGAAATCGGGGAGGGACAGGAGGAGGGGGGAGGGGAGGGGAGGGGAGGGGGAGGGGGAGGGGAGGGGAGGGGAGGGGAGGGGAGGGGAGGGGGGAGGGGAAGGGAGGTGGAGAGGGGGAGGGGGAGGGGAGGGGAGGGGGGGAGGGGAAGGGAGGTGGAGAGGGGGAGGGAGGTGGAAAGATGAAGGGGAAGGGAAGGGGAAGGGGAAGGGGAAAGGGGAAAGGGGAAGGGGGGAGGGGAAGGGAGGGGGGGGGTGTCATTTCATTTGGCATAGTTTGTATTTCTTGTTTTTTTTTTCGTTTTTTTGTTTTACAATTGATTTATTTTTTCTTATTATTGTTTTTAGATTTTTGTAAGTATGTTGTATTATTTCCCATTTGTTTTGTTTATTATTCCAATATATATTTGTTTTACAATATTGGAGGTTTTTAAAGATATAAGTAAACTGGACAAAAGAAAAAAAAAGTAGAAAGAATAAGATAGAAAGCGAGGAAGGAAAAGGAAAATTAAGAGAGCGAGGAAAGAAGAAAAAGAGTGTAAGAGTGAGAGTGAATAAGTGAGTGAGAGAGTGAGAGTGAGAATGAGTGAATGACTGACTGACTGACTGATTGACTGAATAAGTGAGTAAGTGAGTAAGAGAGTGAATGAGTAAATGAGTGAGTGAGTGAATGAGTGGATGAATGAATTAATGAATTGATGTGTAACAGGCAGACAGACAGACAGACAGACAGGCAGACAGAAAGACACAGAAAGGAAGACAGAAAATCACAGAGCGACACAGACAAGTTACAACCCTGCTTTTGGCTCGTAAAATATTGTTCTCCAATTGGTATTTTTCTGAAGCCTTTCGTGATGGCGAGAGGCAGACAGCAAGACAGAGGTCGTACGAAGAAGGTGAGAAAGACGAAAGAAAAGAATTAGAAGAGAAAGAAGAAGAGGAAGAAGAAAAATTGATAAGGAGAGGAGGATGAAGAAGGAGGAGGGGGAGGAGAAAGAGGTGGGAGAAGGAGGGGGGAAGAGGAGGAGGAAGAGGAGAAGGAGGAGGAAGAAGAGGAGGAAGAGGAGGAAGACGAAGAGGAGGAGGAGCAGAGCGAGTAGAGGGAGCAGGAATAGAAGAAGAAGCAGAAGAAGGAAAGAAGAGGAAGAGACGAGAAACTAAGAAAAATAACAAAAGGAAGAGAGAAGATGAGAGAAAGAAAGAGAGAGACAGAAAATAGAAAGATGACAGATACAATTTTTATTAATTGTAATAAGCAGACATAGCCCTGCCTAATGTTAACCCTGAGAACAATTTTCGCAAAATAACAGAAAACGAAGCGACATAAATAGACATAAAAATGGAGTATTGATGATAATTCTAGTCGAGAAGCTGTAATAAACAAAGAAAACAAAATATTTTCCCCTCTTCCCCCCTCAACAAAAAGAAAAAAAAAAAATATTAAAAAAACAACAACATAAAAAGATCATAAAATCCCCCTTCACCCCTCACCCTACCCCCCCCTAGCCCTACCCCCCTTACCCCCTACCCCCCCTCACCCCCCCCCCCCCCTCTTCCCCACAAACTCCCCCTTCTCTGTCTCCAGATTCCACTTCCTGATATGTCAAATGATAAAGTGCGACTCAAGACCGAGAATATTTATCTGTGCTCACTACGTACGATATTGTTATTGGTATTACACGCGGAGATAACATTTTTCTCTCTCCTCTCTCTCGCAAGATGGCGATCAAAAGCTGATATCTTCTCGCATTTCGAGAAAGAGTTGTATAAATTTCGAAGATTTTAAAGTTCAAGTCGTTGATTTTTTTTTTCCCTCGGTCCTTTTGTCTGTCTGTCTATCTGTCTGGCTGTCTGTCTGTCTGTCTGTTTGTTTTTCTCTCTTTCTCTCTCTTTCTCTCTCTCTCTCTCTCTCTCTCTCTCTCTCTCTCTCTCTCTCTCTCTCTCTCTCTCTCTCTCTCTCTCCTTTTGTCTTCCGTTTAAAAAAAAAATCCTTATTCCCTTGGGTCTATTTTTTTCCTCTT